ATATTTAGGTTACTGTCCACTGTAACCTCAGGTCCTTTTCTGCACAGCTGCTGCTTAGCCAGTTGGTCCCCAGCCTGTATTGGTGAATGGAACTGTTCCGCCCTAAGTGCAGGACTTTGCACTTCTCCTTATTGAACCTCATGAGCAGGGATCTGGGTTTTCCATTTCCCATGCAAAAACAATCCCCCCCCCCCCACGGATTTCCCCTTTTACCCAAGGAAAATGCAGATTTCTTCATTTAATGGACAAAACAAATGGATTTTGCACTTTTACAAAAAGCTCTCTGCAGGCTGGCAGAGTTCCAGCTTGCACGGGGCTGCAAGGGAGCAGGAGGAGGACAGTCAGGAAGGGGATGCCATGTGCATGTATATGCACGTGGCCATCAGGCAGCCTGGAGAGCAGCTCCTGCAGGTAAATTGACAGGGAAATGGAGGGGGGATTGAGGTCCCCATAGGGAGGAAGAGAGGAAGGGAGTCGGGCAGGGCTGGGAATGGGGCTGTTGCCCAGTCAGGCAGTGCTTGGGGCCTGGGGCCAGAATGCGCAGCTGTAGGGTTTGGGTGAACAGCAGGACAGGGCCATGGGTGGCACATCTGGAGGGTGAAGCTGGCTCCCCACTGCCGCAGGCTGGCTCCTCACTGCTGCGCACACTCCCTGTGCATGGGGCAGGGGTAGGTGTGGGCTGTGGGCTCAGGCTTCCACCCTGCTGCCCTCCCCTGGGGCCTCTGCAGCCCAGTGGGTGGAACCTGGCACAACAAAGCAGAGTGAGGAAAGGCAGGGAAGCTCCTTGCCGCTGCAAGCCCTGCGCTGCCATGGCAAGATGCACCCTCCACACGCTGCTGCCCCTACTGCTGTGGGGTGGGCAGGGGCACATCACCAGGGCAATGTGAGGCTTGCAGTGGCAAGGAGCTTCCTCTCCCAGCCCTGCTTTGCCCTGCCACACCAACTTCCACCTGCTGAACTGCAGATGCCCTGAGGGAGGAGAGCAGGGTGGGGGGCCCAAGTCTGCAGCAGGAAGCCTGCACCCACCCCACGCACAGATCTGGGGGGCATGGTACCCCCAGCCCCTTCAGCAGTGCGCATAGTAGCAGGGAGCTGCTTCCCCAAGCCCACAGCAGGCAACCCGCCCCACCCCCATAGACTTCACTCCAGCCATGCCACCTGTCGGGGAGGGGGAACTGGGCTTTGCAGTCCACTGCACTGCAGCAGCTGTTGCCTCCCAGGGTGGCAGGCAGGGCTCGGGCACTGCTGTGGGTGGCAGAGGGCTGTGAACCTGGGTCCTTGGCCCTGTAGCCTTGGCAGCTGGGTCCCCCCCCTCCAGCAGGGCTGGCGTGGGGGCAGGGGTTGTGGCTAGGGAGGCTGTGGGTGGGGAGTGAGGGGCCTGGATCTCCATGCTGTGAGCTAAGGGGGCAGAGGGAGCTCTGATTTTCCACGATAAAAAACCCAAAATCAAATACCAAAATTTATAGGTATTTAGAATTTATTTTATTATAGTGATTGAGTCAGTGGTGGGCTTCCAAATTGCTTTAAAATTGTAAATATATGAATTGTAAATATATGAAATATATATAAATATATGTAAATATATGAATAAAGCATTGTGTTCAATTGAGATTATATATATATTAGGGCTGTGCGAAGCTTTGGTCACTGATTCGATTCAGTGGACATTTGGCCCGATTTGGCAGCCGAATCTCCAAATCCAAATTGAATCAGGAGACCCTTTAATCTCTCGGAATCAACTCAGAACGCTCTGAATTGATTCAGAGAGATTCAATGTTTCGGACATAGACACAGCTTTAAATGTTTTTTCTACATAATTCAAGGTACGAGATGCTGAGATGGTGGGGCAGATGGAGCATCCCATGGAAGCATGGGGGGCCCCCAGTGCGCTCAGCGATGAACCTGGAAATGGACCAGAAGCACTTCTGATCCACTTCCAGGTCCACCGCAGAGTGTGCGCGGAACCCCACCCCTGCCTCGGTGACAGGTGCCTCCTGGGTCTGGGGGGGCACCCGGGGTCCTCCCACAGCTGATCGCTGAACTGAAGGAGTGAGGGGGGTGTTCCCCCGCACGCTCAGTGGCAGACTCAGAAGTGGACAGAAGTACTTCCAGTTGACTTCTGGGTCTGCTGCCGAGCATGCAGGGGAGGCCCCCCGTGCTCCTGTGGGACACTCCATCCACCCCCACCATTGCAGCATTCATGAACTGTGCCTGGTACCTCGAGGTATGTAGAAAAAAAACATTTAAAGCTGTGTCTATGACCGAATCGCTGATTCCTCTCTGAATCAGCACTGAATCTTCAGATTCAGATTCAGCCAAATTGAATCAGGACAGTGATCCGAATCAACGAATTGAATCACTGTCCCTGATTCAGGCTGAATCGAGATCCAAATCGAATATGGCCTGTTTCATGCACCCCTTTTTAATCATGGATTTTGGACTTTTAATCAGAGAATTTTCTTTTTTTCTTTTTTTTTTTAAATCAGGGAGAACCAGGATCCCCACCCATGAGATTTCTTTTGGTCCAATCTTCCAATTTGTCTAGGTCTCTCTGAATCCTAGCCCTACCCTCCAGTACATCTACTATTCCCCACAACTTCGTGTCATCTGCAAACTTGCTGACAGTGCACTCCATCCCAACTTCCAAGTCGTTAATGAAGATATTGAGCAACACAGGCCTCAGGACCAACCCCTGGGGTAGTCCACTTGATACTGGCTTCCAGCTAGACATCAAGCCATTGATTACTGATGATCCAGCCAGTCTTCTATTCACCTTACAATCCATTCATCTAACACTTACTTCCTTAGCTTACTTGCAAGAATATTGTGGGAGACCATATTGAAAGCCTTGCTAAAGTCAAGGTATATCATGTCCACCGCTTTCCCTGCATCCACAGAGCCAATCTTCTTATCATAAAAGGCAATCAGGTGGGTCAGGCATAACTTGCCCTTGGTGAATCCATCCTGACTATTCCTAATCTTCACCTTTTCCTCTAAGTGCTTAGAAATGGATTCCTTTCGAACCTGCTTCTAGGTTTTTCCAGTGACTGAGGTGAGGCTGACATGTCTGTAGTTCCTCTGATCCTCCTTTATCCCTTCCTTAAGGTTGAGCATTATACTTGCCCTTTTCCCATCATCCAAGAATTCTGATTGCCATGAGTTTTCAAAGATAAGGGTCAGCAGCTCTACAATCACATAGGCCAATTACATCAGCACCCTCAGGTAATCCTGTCTGGCCGCATGGACTTGTACACATCCAGCTTTTCCAAACAGTCCCTAACCTGTTCTCAGCGGCTCACCTCCTCCCCAAACTGTGCTGCCAGACGTAATAGTCTGGGAGCTGACCATGCTTGTGAAAAATGAGATAAAGAAGTCATTGAGTACTTCAGCTTTTTCTGCATCATCTGTCACTAGGTTGTCTCTGCTATTCAGTAAGGGGCCAACACTTTTCCTGATCTTCCTCTTGTTACTGACATACTTATAGAAACTTTTCTTGTTACCCTTCATGTCCCTTGCTACCTACAACTCCAATTGCACTTTGGCCTTCCTGTTTTCATCATGGCATGCCTGTATAACGCTGCTCCTCCTTAGTTGTTTGTCCAAGTTTCCACTTCTTGTAAACTCCTTTTTTTGTGTTTTAGCTCACTGAAGAGTTCCCTGCAAAGCCAAGCTGGTCTTCTGCCATACATGCTAATGTTCCTGCACATTGGGATTGTTCATTTGTTCCTGCACCCTTAGTAAGGTTTTAAAAAAAAAAAACAACTCACTCGGACTCCTTTCCCCATCAGACTGGCCTCCCAGGGGATCCTGCCCATCAGTTTCCTTAGTGAAGGTTAGGATCTTTACTCTATTGTTCTCCTTCCTTCCTTTTCTCAGGATCCTGAACACAATCATGTCATGGTCACTGCTGCCCAAGTTGCCTTCAACTTCTACATTCCCCACCAATTCTTCCCTGTTCATAAGCAGCAGGTTTGAGAAGAGCATGGCCCCTAGTTGGCCTCTCCAGCACTCACACCAGGAAGTTGTCCCAACACTTTCCAAAAACTTCCGGATTGCCTGTGCACTGCTGTATTGCCCTCCCAGCAAATGTCAGGGTGACTGAGGTCCCCTGTGAGAACCAGGTCCTGCGATCTGGAAATTTCCACTAGCAGTCTGAAGAAAGCTTCATCCACCTCATCCTCCTGGTCTATTGCAGACCTCGCCACAACATCACCCTTGTTGCTGTCCCCTCTGACCCTCACCCAGAGACTCTTGACAAGGCTATCTCCAGTTTCATACTGGAGCTCTGAGCAATCATACAGCCCTTTTACATAAAGCGCGACTCCTTCTCCTCTTCTCCCCTACCTGTCCTCCCCAAACAGCTTGTACCCATCCATGACAGTGCTGCAGTCATGCAAGCTCCCGTCACATCTCTGTTATTCCAGTCACATCATAGCTCTGTGACTGTGCAAGGACTTCCAGTTCTTCCTGCTTGTTTCCCAGGCTCTGTGCATTCATGTACAGACATTTGAGGTAATTAGTCAACTGCCTGACTTTCTCAGAAAAAATGTGCCATCCTAGTTGTTTTAACTAAATACTAACACATTTCTAGGCTGGGCTGACTTATTTAAGTTAGCTTTGGTGGATCTACAGCAGTGGTTTGCAACCTTTTTTGTGCCAGGACCCATTTGTAAACATCAGTGGCCAGTACCGACCCAGTGCCCCTCACTCCCGACCAGCTGCCTTCAGTTCGCGCGCGCGCGTGTGTTCTCCTTCATTTCATGAGAATCCGTTTTTTTGCGACCTTTTCATATATTCTTGCAACCCACTTTTGGGTTACAACCCACAGGTGGAGAAACACTGATCTACAGGACTGGCAAGCAATGTTCAGGATTGCTGTGTATACTCAGCATGGTTCAAAACCATAAATATTACTTAAGGTGGGCATCTACAGAGGAGGGCACTGAACCTGCATTTCAAGGAAGCTGTATATGGTCAGGCAGAAACCAAAAGCTACATACCTTATATCCAACTTCTGGTAAGACAGACTTGTCCCAGTGGTCTGGAATGTTCTTCCACTCTCCTGAATGCTGATCCCCACTGTATGAGATATTTAAGAGAGTCTTAATATTTGCTGGAGAGCATTGGACTATAAGGTTTTGCCAAGTTTAGGACACAACAAATATAAAGGATAAGCCAGTATATCTCAGGACTTCAGAACTGCATCTTCAGTTCACTTGCACAATATCAAAAGCACCACAAGTCAAGAGAGACAAAGTTCCAAATTTGCAAAGCACTTAAAACGCACCTCACTTTTGACCAACAGGACTACTCACATGCTTATAGGTAGGGATGTAATTAAGCACTTTGCTAAATTGGGATCAGAGTAAATAAAATGACAGAAGAGAGACTAGTGCCAATTTATGCTACAAACTAATTTTGTCTGACAGAGTTGCTAGAGAAAACTCCTATGCTCATGAACGCATCTGTATCAACCGCCTCAGAGCAGAGTAACTATACGTACCTGATTTTTTTCTTTTCAACCTCTTGTGGAGAGATGAATTTGGGTCTCCTGCAAACCTCTCTCTCCGTCTTGTAGTGAAGGTTTTTCTGAACCATGTCTGAAAACAGTACAGGAAGCAAATTACCTCCTCAGCAGTCACATGGAGGCAAAAGTATGCACTGGGCCTCCCTACCAAGATAGCCAAAAGGTACTGAGCTCTGCTCTTACTGTGTGTGGAGAAGACACTGTAGCAGCAAAGGGCAGACTACACCGGAGTCTGCCTTGTGGATCAGGCAGGATTCCAATTTCAGTTTGTTCAGTTTATTCTTAAAACTGAGATGGACTTGATACATAGTATTTTATTTTCCAGGACTATGAAGAGAGTGGATGTGCTATATGTGCTATAGGTTTCACTTCTGAAGCATCCCTAACTCATTTTGCTACTGGGGCTCACCTAGAATGACCACTGATAATCGGTTATATTTTCCATGTTTAGAATTCTGCCATTCTGTTAAAACTATCAAAGGTGTCAATGGTTAGGTACACTTTGTCCCCTTAGAAAACTCTCCATAGTCACTAACTGCACCAATAGGTTGCTGAACAGCCAGCACTAAGCCTTGCTGAGCTTTAAGACTTACTGGCTAATAAAACTGTAAGCTCATTTTTGGACAGAAAGTTAGCCACATTTTTGCATAGGCAGAATATAGTGTGTGTGAAGACTGTCTGTAGTTTAAAAATAAGAAAGAATGAAACTGAAGAAACAACCCTCACTTGTTAATACTTTTTAAGCAAGGCAAATAATTAATCTGTACAGGTGATGCTTACAAGAATGAAGATACTTCCTTGATCAATTGTTTTAAAGAAAAACCTGTTGGGTTCATCCCAAGCTCCCTAACAGTAAATTAACTTTTAAAACAGAATTGAGAGACTATGACCTCTTTTCAAAATAAAAAGAAAGAAAGGAGAAATTTAAATCATATTTATCCCAGGATTTTCCTAGTTTACTTTATTATGGGCTTATTTCTTTGCCTCCACTCCCTGATTGATTGATGGTCTGCTTCTGAGAGACCTATAAGTAGCACAGCTTTATAATAAAACATAAATCCCTCCCCAAGCCCTCAATGCAAGAGATATTAGACCAGAAGTAGTATGGCTGGGACATAGATGTCCAAGCAATTCTGTCCACCCTGTTATAACAGTGCCTAAAGTCAGAACATGCCTAAAGGTTGTCTTATGCCAGGGCCAAACCAATTCCATGGGCTGTCCTCTCTATAGGAAACTTCTTTCTCTGTGCCTGACTTTATGCTAAGCCAGCAGATATAAACCTGCCCTCTGGTGCTGATATAGATGCAGGGTTTGTCAGTCACCCTGTTAATCAGCTGTTCTTCTCTACAATAATACTAGTTATTACTAGTATGAATTGACAAGTGGATACAATATTCCCTACCAAGCTTTAAAGTGTGATAAGGCCCCTCATTCAGAGTGAGAGGTACTATGGAGAAAAATCCACAGGATCTAAGCCTAGGGAGTTAGATCAGTGTGAACTTTATGTTGCATTTAAAAACCCACAACTCAGGAAGGGGGGAAATTTAGGATTATATTATCTCTTCAGAGAAAGATGTGAATCTGTGCTCTTGAGAAGTTGAGCTCCAATACAACTTCTAGAAGGAAAATGGGTGTACGAAATCAAGCGTGCTCCCTTGCTGGCTGTTCTGCTAATGTTGGCAGCAGAGATTCAAGACAAATACTAACACTGATGGGTCTGAGGAGAAGGGCCAACTGATCAGGCCAGGTGTCTCCATCCTGCTCCTCCATTAGCAGATCTGGGAAAGAGGTCAGAGAGGTGGAAAAGGGGACATTTCTCTTTGAATAGGTGAATGCCTCAGAAGTAGTCCTTCAAACTCCAATATGGTTAACTCATGATTTCAGTCTTCCCACATAGGCAGAGCTATACCAGAAGAATGTACAGAAAAAAATTATATTCCAGATACTTTGAGTTAAAAAGCAGCACTTTGGTGGCTTAGGGACAGCTACTGGAAGTTAAAGCAGCCCTTGGATCCTGAACTCTATTTTCAGTTAAGAAGTGGAGACAGGACAAACAAGCTTGACAATGTAAACCTAGGTTCTTGGTAGGGCAGGGTAGCTATCTCGCTGTAAAAATGACATTTGTGATGTTAGCAAAGAGAAAGCCCTATGAAAGAGATTAATCAGCACCAGCCTATTTAATAGCAATTTAGTAGACACCAAAGCAATGTGCCAGAGTCCTCCATAAGTTTCTGAGGGTGGTAATCTCAACGATACTACTTTTACCAAGTTGGCTGGCATTGTAAAATCTAGCACTGGAGGTTTTTAAAATGATCTCTTTTGTTAGAATAGAAGTTCCGGTTTCTCCCTAGTGAGAAACTCTGACTGCATGGCCTTTAATGCGTACCCTTTTCCTTTTACTATTGCATATCTTGCACTTCCTGAAGTAATACACTTTCAGACTAGAAACATACTTGAGAGGAAGTATAAAACCCAACGTACCTTTAAAATTGATCTCATATTTGTGCTTCCCAGCTTTGAACTGCAGTACTGTTGGAGACCCTTTGGCTAGGTAAGCTTTCTCCAGGTCACTGCTACATATAGTAGCAGCAGCATGGTCAACATCCTGCCAGGTCAGAATCAAAGAAGAAAAGATTTTCCTGTTTGTTCTAAAAATGAGCAAGTTAAAAAATATTGCGTTGTGGTGGTTTTGGTGCATACAGACCGACATACTAGCAACTGGCCTTTAAGCAAACCAGACAAACAAAGAAACTACCAGGCATGCAGGGAAACATTTCCCAAATTCTAAAATGGGGCAGATGATAAGGTGGAAATAAAGTGTTGTTGAAACCTAGAACTTTAAATAACAAATCAAGAAAGGACAAAGGTTAAAATTTCCAGCAGTGAATACAGGTGGAAGCACCTGTGGTACCTTATTTCATACAACTCACTGAACAGATATCAGTAATAATTTTCAATCAATAATGAGCATTCTTATCTTTAAGATGATTAACCTAAATTAACCAACTCTATTCTATTAACCTCTCTCTGTCTCCTACTACTAATTATCTAAGCCTAAGTGTCAGTCTCAGACTACTAAAGGAAAACAGCAGCAACTCCACATTTATAGTCCATGTAGCTTCCAGTAGGCCCCACAATTCTAAAGCAATGGTGAAGGAAGTTATGTTTCATTACCATACTTACTTGTTTTCCATATTCAAGCCACAAGCCATATTCATCCTTCCAGTACCACAGCCACTCTGTTGTAAGAATGTAATGAGGGGGTTTGGTCACAGATGATTCTGTGGAGAGGCGTCTAACTTTTTTAGAGCCACAGGTCATAGTCTGAAATTGTATGAGCGCTGAGACAGAGCTACTCACAGGAGTGCTGCATGAAAACCGGAGAAGTCCAGGGTTAAAAATGTTTTGCACCAGTCAGATGAACATACTTGCAACTTTTCCAGAATGTAGTTTGTAAATCAGCAGCTTTTACTGTCCAACAGTAAAGCACAAATTAGAATTCCCACAGCAACCTCAATTCACATTCCCACAGCATGTGTGTATTGTATTTTGCATTACAATATGTGTCTTAAACATCAATACCATATGCAATAATTATATTTAAGGGATCATGGCAGCAGTTGCTCTTGATAAAATAAAACAACAGGCATAACATAAAATAAATGCTATGTAAACTTTCTTATTACACATACATACCCCAACCTAATTTAAATTATGAATAGAAATTCTCCCACTATCTTAGCCTGTCAATCATTCTCAGGTAGGGACTACACTGTTGGCTGTGCATGTGTATTGGGTGTGGTATTGTGATATGAATAACGGACAAGAACCTCAGAACTCATTAACTTCAAGAAAAGAAAATAAAACAATTCAAGAAAGCAGGCTTTGAATAATTTTTGACCCAACATAAAAAAAATGGTTATTTAAAAGCTTTTCTAGTATTCTTTGGAATTTCCACCACTCATTTTCTACTAGATATAGACATGTAACAGAACACATCATTCTCCTCAAAAGCTTTTATCATTTGAGCAAAGAGAATCTTTTGGAAGTCAAGACTAGCAGTCTTTACATATTCTCTTCAGGCCATGGCTTATCAGTAGACAAGGCCATTGCAAACACATAAACATGTCTCAGATTCTGTCTACTCTGCTGTTCTAAATATACATTGCCTTTCCACATCCCTTCCCTTTACAAAGGATCATAAAGAACCTCACCTTCAGCTAATGTGCAGGACAACTTTAGTCAGAATGATAGGGGACTACTGTATGCAGGAGTGGCAGAGAACTATGCTTGGCACCCTTAAGGGCCACCATTGTATGGAAAAGATGTCATCTGCTCATCACACACTGTCATCTTCTTACGACAGTGCCGCTTAAGAGTACCTAGCAGAGTCATCTGCTGTCATGGTTGCAGCTCCCACAAGAAAGGGACACAATGGCTGGGTCACCCAGATAATCACCATCCCGCACTTCCTGGCGTTCTCTCCAGGCAGCTCCACTGGCGTGGAAGGCAGGAATTAATCCTTCTTCATGAAGGTATAAGATCAGGAGCTTTGTTTCATGCTGAGGCTTCCAGACCCTGGGCTCCACTGCAGGAAGCAGGGAGCAAGAAAGCCTTGGATCATCAACTCTGGGGCAGTCTATGCAGCAAGTTACCACTGGAGCCACAGAGCAGGTAGACACCCTGCAAGGCGAGCTGGCAGAAAAATCTATTTGAACCCTTCCTCTGTTTCATTTGAAACTATTCAAAAAGAGTAATGAAACATTTTGGATTTTACGAATTAGAATGTTTTAACCAAACAAAAGTACAGAACTGTCAGAAAATATGCATGCAGCCACCCACTTTTTTCTTCACCTCATCTCTCAAAAAATTAGGAAAATGTGGATTATGAATGCCTAATACCAGAGATGCCTGGATCTACAGTTTTGGCTCTGCATTTCAGTGCTGTTTGAATTCAGAACTTCAGTTCAGATCTGGCTTTTTAATAAGGTCCTGTTTCTATTTAAACCTGTAATCAATTTCCATTTAACTAAAAATATATGTCTTGATATGTATTGATATGGAATTTTAGGCTGAGGACAACATGATCAGCTTTGGCCAAAATTATCTTTGGTACAGAGGATATTTTTATTTCAGTATGTTTAGTAGATTTAACCCTTCAGGTCCTTTACTTGGTAATTTGATTCCCCAGTAGGATTTTGTAAAGGCAATAGCAGTTCAAGGACCCTTTCTGTAATTCATCAACTTATATACAGGAAAAAAGCAGTTTTTCCTAAAATTGAATTAGAAAGCATGGGGTTGACTTATAATTTGGAACAATACTTTATTGGTATGAGTTTCCCCCAGTACCTTCTGGGAATGACATAAGTAATTCCAAAAATTTTGAACCAGGTATTTCTCTCCTTTCCAGTTGCTCTTTATGTTCCTCAGCTTTCTTTTGCTCACTGCTCCTCACACTGTATCTTACTTATCATGATGACTCAGTGAAATGAGAGAAAAGCCACACATTATTCCCAGACTCAGAACAACGGGACAGAAGATATAGCCATAAAGGGCGTCCTTATACATGCTCTGGGTGGCAGGGGCGTGTTTTAATTAGATCGGCTCTCAGGAGCCACTCAAAACGCCTGCACCATCTTGTGTATTTTGCATCCCACACTTCCAAATGGTAATGGGGGTGCTTTAGCTAACACTCATTTGACAAGCTTTAGTTAAATCCCCCCCTCCTCTCCCCACCATTTTGAAACGTGGGGATGCTGAAAACATGTGATACTGAGGCTGCTGGAGTATTCTAATTAGAACTCAATCTCTTATTTTATTGAGTCATGGTAAATAGGATACGGTGTGAGGAATGGTGAGCAAGAGAAAGCCAAGGAACAAAGAGCAACTGACTCAATTAATCAAGTCTGGTTCAACGCATTCTAATTAGAATGTGCTGGAGCAGGTGCTGGGCACATGTATAGGTGCCCAAAGAGAGGGCTCAGTCAGAACTCAAATTGATCTAAAATACACATAACGTTTTGACTAAGTCAATTTCATCAACATGTTACCATCCATTTCTATTAATATTTCAGCCTATTTATGATAGCAGCAGTAGGTGTTGCAACTTCTTGTGCAGTAGCTCAGAGGAAAGAATGCTGAGTTAACAGATTAATTCTATAAAGTAGCCCATAGGGTCCGACTTGGAATCCAAAGCCAGATCTTACACTAGTGTAAATCCATGTAAAAAAGTCAACAGAACTGGGTTGAATGAAACAATTTAGGCAGTAGCTTCAAGAGAGCTATGTTAACTTATGCTATACAGGTCAAAGCCCTTGACTATCATAGTAGAAGGTCAGGCTCAAACATTAGTAAACTGCTAATAGTTTATACCTGTTATTTTGAGGGTCACAATATGCCTCTTCAATCTTTTCCATATCCTTTAAGTCCTTCCACTCAGCACCATCACAGATCTGCCATCGATATGGCAAATGAAAATGTTCTCTGATACACTTATCTGAAAAGGTAAAATAAAAGAACTGAATTAGATCTATGGCACAAAGAAACTGATTTTTTGGGTTAACTTATCTTAATCTAGTGCTGTTGAAGATGCTAGCTATACAACCATGGAAAGTGTCCACCCATGGAATACAGACAGCAGAAGTGAAAGCTTCCCTAGATGACTTTAACAAAATTATTAAGCTTTACCTGAGGCCACCTCTTCGGAAGAAATAATTTGTTTCTAGATCCATTAGGTTCTTTGCTTGTGTATCACAGCTGCTACTAATGGTGCAGTTTGGGGCTTTTTTGTTTTGTTTTTTAAAGTTAGGAGGACAATTATTTACCATTAATTGAAATAACTATAATAACCACACAATAAACAAAACAGTTTCTCCTCACCTCCTTCCCCAGTAAAGATTACACTGAGATCAGTCTGGCGGCCTAGTATTTTCCAGACATAGACAGTGGACACACAAGTTCTAGATATCTAGGCCTCCTCTCAGGCTCCAAGCAGGTGCTACTGAGAAAGCAGAACTCCGTTTTGGGAAAGGAGCACGGGAATAAGTATGATGGATGCTTGTTGAGAAGCTTCAAAGAGCTGATGGGCTTGAAAGTGCCCAGAAAAATGGGAAAGATTTGGTAAGAATCTTGGGTTTGGTGGTTGCAATGTGGGTATTCTGTGAGCGAGGCAGATCTCATACAAAGAGCTGCCGATATGCTCAGCTCTTCAGCTAAAATGAATGTCCTCCAGAGGCAAGGATGAAAGCAAAAGAAATCTATATATCTATATACCTATGTGTTCAATATGGCTTTCATTCTAAAGGAAAAGGTAGAGGACCCGGAAGAGCAGCTAAAGTTAAAGAAGCTACGCTGCACAGATCACAGAAAGAGATACCATCAGATTAAGACTAGGACTTGGAGAAAACACGCAGCAACAAAGAAGGGATGGCGATACTTCACGCAGATAGCAGGAACAGCTACTGATTGTATCTGAGGTCCATTTAGTCCAGCATCCAGTCTCCCATACTGGCTAACACAACAGGCTTCAGAAGAAGCTCCTTGCAAATGCAGATGTGAGATAGTATTTCCCACTCTTTGTTAGGATAGAGGAAGACAGAGGTCACATGCACAAGAGCTCAAAATTAGACTTCACTGGAAATTTGTACAAAACCATCACACTTCAGGGTTTGTGTTTCAGAATCATGATTACTATGGATATTCTTGTTAGCCAAGATCCCCTTCCGAATTATGCTGAATTCTTAGCTTGAGATGATTTCTTGTGCCAACAAGTTACCTTTTCATACAATATGTATTAGACTGTGTGTTTCCCATTAGCAATTTTGCCACCTTTTAGTTTCATTCAGCATTCCTTGGTTCACAAGTTATAAGTAGGGATCTGGGTTTTCTGTTCACCATGATAAAACATGGGTTTTCTCATTTTAAGGAGAAAATATGCAGGAAACAGTGGGTTTCCCCTTGCAGGCTGGCAGAGTTCAACCCAGGCAGTGCATGGGCCTTGGGCACTGGGGCTGGAAAGCACAGTTGCAGAGCCCAGGGAGGGAGTGGGATGGGGCTGTGGGCAGCTTGTCCAGGGGTGGCGAGGGCTGGCTCCCTACTGTTGCACGCACTGCTTGGGGAGGACATGGGGGTCACATGCCCCCCAGATCTGTGTGCAAGGCAAGGGTGGGCTGCCTACTGTGGGCTTGCGCTCCCTGCCCTGCTGCCCTCCCCACAGGCCTCCACAACCCAGAAGGTGGGACCCAGCAAAGCGGGGTGGGACAGGGAAGCTCAATGCTGCCTGGAGCCCAATGCTGCCATGGCTAGGTGCCCCCTGCCTGCCTGCCTGGCAGCAGTGGGGGTAGCGGTATGGAGGGCACCTCACCATGGCACCATGGCACCCAGCCCCACTCTGCCCTGCCACATAGGGTCCTGCCCGCTGGGCCACAGAGACCCCAGGGGGAGGGCAGGAGGACGGGGAGCCAAAGCCCACCTTACACACAAACTGGGGGCACGTGCCCCTCCATACTCCATCCCAGGAGCGCTGCAGTGGCAGGCAGCCAGCCCCCCCGACCAAGCCCACAGTCCATATCTGCACCGCTCCTATGTGCTCCACTCCAGCCATGCCATCCATGAGGGAGAGGAAGCCAGGCTCCATGCTCCACTACAACAGCTGCCATATCCTGTGGGCAACAGCCTCGGCTCAGGATGTGGGTCCCTGGCTCCATAGCCCTCCAGCTGAAGGCCTCCTCCAGCAGGGCTAGGGGAGGGGGGAGGAGGGAAGGGGGCTGTGGCATTGGCAAGGTACCAGCATATAAGGGCTGCTCAGCACCATAAAGCAGTAAGGGGGGTACAGCCATAGCTAGATCCATGTCCTGATGAGCGAAGGGGGCAGGGGAAGCTCTTATTTTCCATGATAAAAAACCCAAAATCACATGCCAAAATTTGTAGGTATTTAGAATTTATTTTATTATAAATTACTACATTATTTTATTCTAGGTACACTGTAGGTTTCCAAATTGCTTTAAAATTGTAAATACGTATATTAGTGGCATTTCATTTTAATTGCAGATAATGCAGATTTTGGGGGGTTTTAAATCAGAGAATTTGCTATTTTTAAACAGAGAAAACCAGGATCCCAGGTAAGCCAGAAGTTCCCCATCTACTTTCCCAAGAACATTTGTTATTTTATTACACTCCTTACCAGGAAAAGGAAAAATGGAAGCTACGAGACTCACCGGCATCATGACTTACCTAGGAAACTACAACTTCGCCTTATGTGATATAAGCAGATCTCTTCCAATTTTTCGTTATTATTTGGAATCGTGGATACCTCATTCAGACTGTCGCCTTTCACTACAAAAGGAAAAACAGAGTTGCTCTTTTATAAATGGCTTTTGTAGGTTCAGTTTTGACAAATGCTCCCAAAAAGCACAAATATGGTTAAAAGACAAACAAAGACAGGCTTTGTAACTAAAGAGCTCTGAGCACTAAGGTATAAGCTGCCCTTTTTACACATAATCAAAGACACAATTACAATAGTTATCCTCTAACAAGGTCATAACACAGAGTTCAGATGGGACTTTAAGTGGCATAAACTAGCTATAGCCTTTGTTGTCTTGTCCAAGCAATTAGGCAGTTTAAAAGAGGTCCCCAACCTTTTTTGGAGTCCCAGTTTGGCCTAAGCTGCATCTTAGACTATCTAAGAAGCCAGAGGTGCAACAGCCAGAGGCTGCATATGGGGACAGCAGGGGCTGAGCCAGCTGTGGCAGCTCCACAGGCAGCGGGAGCAGTTGCTGTTCTTACATCCCACTAACTGAGGTCAAATTCCATTATTCATCATCTCGGAGTTTGGCCTCTGTGTGCCTGTGTAGATTCTTGAATTCAATTTGTAGCTGTACTGCAATAATTAAATAATCAAAACAAGAGTTAAAAATAAGGCAGACAGGGTAAATCACTTTACACAGTAAGTCAATGGAGGAGTTGGAAATAGAACCTAGGAATCCTGCCTCCACCCCCTGGACAACACTTAGGATCAGCTTAGAAGTCATAAGTCAGGCTGACTTGGCTTAATAACATGAGAAACAGATATCACTCAAATTGCTACTGTAGAGCAGCAACCTTGTTGTTTCTAGACACTTTAGAGCAGTGGAGGCCAACCATTTTGTTTTGGGAAGCATGTCACAAATTAACTCCACACCCAAGTGCCACTCCAGTTCCCCTCTCCTGCCCAACCTGCTATTTTGCTTTCTACCCTGTGCTTCTTGCCTGATCTCCTGCTCTGCCTTCTGCTTCCTGCTCTGCCCACAACTGTGCTGTCTTTCTCCTCCCCCAAACTGCTACATGCCACACACAGAGGCTGCCTGTGCTATTTGCCTTGCCTATATTGCAGGTTGGCCACCCCTCCTCTAAAGGAAGGTGGTTATCCTAAACAGCGATTTACCTAGAAATCTGTTAACCCAGAGTCTATAGCAGGGGTGGTAAATTATTTGAGACTGAGAGCCACTGAGGGAGTTTTGGCAAGCTGTCGCAGGCTGGGTCAGCACATCCCCCCACCTGCAACAGCTCACCAAAAGTGGATCTGCTTCATGCTTGGCTGGGTGGCAGTCATGGGTGAGCAAGCAGAGAGTGGCATCCAGGAGCAAGATGGGCAAGTAGGACCAAGACAGGACAGAGCCAGGGCCTGGGACAGAGCCATGATACACTCCCTACTACCCGAGACAGGAGCTGGTTCTGCGGGAAGAGGCATGCAGGGAGCAAGCTGCAGCTCTGCCCTGGGCACATGGGGGGCTGCCTCAATGAGCAGGACAGGCAGGTAGGGCCAAGATCTTGAGGCAGGAACAGCATGGGGCTGGAGCCAGGGCCCGGGGCACAGCAGTGATCTGCTCCCTGCACACAGCTGCCCACAGAACTGGCACTCATCTGGCCCCAGCCCAGAACCGGCTCTGCCACAGGCCCCAACCCCATGTTCTCACCGCCCCAGCACGGCCACAGCACCACGACATGCAATCCTGGCCCCAGCCCCTGGCCACCTGTGTACCCATCCTGTGGCCCAGCTGCGGGGCTCGCCCACATGGGTCCCATCCCCAGCAGTGGGTGCAGACTGGATGAGCTGGAGTGCCCACACAGCAGGGCTGGGTCTGGCAGCCAGAAGCAGCCAGTGAAGCCAGGGCTGCTGGGAAATCCAGCTCCCACACCACCCCAGCCCTGCTGCGTGCTCAGGGGCAGCGGGACTGGCTGAACGCACCATAGTCCAGGCTGCCCCCCACACCAGGGCCACATGGGACCAAGGGACCTTCTGCAGGCTGGATAAAATCCCTTGGCAGCTTGTATTTTGCCCACCACCGCCTACAGTTTGGAACCCGTGTCATTTAAAGAATACATGAGAGAGCTGGACAGGAGGAAAGGGACAGCTATATACTTTATTTTTCTATGTGCTCTTTGATTACACTTAAAATATTTTAAAGACCTTCAGTGGAAACAAAAAGAAAACAAACTGAAAGCTAATACCCTGCTCTCCATTGCTTCTCATGCTGAATACTGGTTAGATAAAGATGGAGAAACAGAATATTCAAAACCACACCAAGAAAAGCATTCCTTGTCTTTATGTTGGTCTCACCCCCTTCCTCCACTTTGCCCAAAGAACTACAGTGAATCTATTATCTAAATCTTACTCTTCTGCCTCATGGTTAAGTAAGTGTCTTGAATAATGTCAATTGCCTTTACCCTCAAAATGCCTTTCAAACAACTGAATGGATTCTCTTTCTACGCGCGCGCGCGCACGCACGCACGCACGCACGCACACACACACACACTGGGTGAAATAAGACCCAGCCAAAAGAAAAAGCTAAATCTTAAATTGAGCTTCTTCTACATAGCAGAGATCTGAGCTAATGCTGTGCTCACTAGGTTGACTCTTTACTCCAGTTTTTAAAAATAATATAAGTGTTCTACCTTTGGTTGGTGAAGAGTTGCCATTTTTGATGTCATACACGTTCCTGAAGATGGAGGGCAGTCTTTTAATCAGGTCTGAGCTCATTCCACGTTTCTCCAGTTTTTCATAACATTCTGGATTAAAAATGTCATGTAATCGTTTGCAGTTACTGCCGAATCTGCAGTCTCCCAGCAAATAGTGCTGACAAATGTGAAGTTTGATACAGATTGTCTTAAAGTTACAAGACCCATAGGGTCCATCACCTCTGTTATAATGCGGACATATCTGGAGTTGGGAGGGGGGGAAAAAAAGGGATATCAGTTTCAGCAAAAGTAGTGTATTTTGATCACTTCTTTTTAAATAAAAGGACAATTTGCCTTTGATAAAAACACATATTAATTTCTAAAATCTAGATTATCTTCAATAAAATTAGACTACTAGTTTCTTTTGAAAAATCTTTTCTAAATGGAGGTTTCAGTACTTTAGACATATATTATAGATATGAAAAGAATGCTTTCTAAAAGGCAATACAAAAGTTGTGTTGTATATTGGTATGAAAATGCTGCTGTGTTTACATTAGAGCATTTAAAGATCATTCAAGATCTGTCAGACCAGTCTGTTGGTAGCATTACTTGTTTTCAAGAAATTATTTGTATGTTCAATAGGGCTGTGTGAAGCTTGGTTCCCAGTTCGATTCGACAGAGATTCAGCCCAATTTGGTGACTGAATCAAAGGACCCTTGAATCTCTCCGAATTGAATCAGAACCCTCTGAACTGATTCGGAGACATTTCGGAAAGATTCGGACATAGATACAGCTTTAAATATTTTTTCTACATACCTCAAGGTACCAGACAGCTGTGATGCTGGGGTGGATGGAGCATCTCACAGGAGCTCAGGAGGCTCCACAGCACACTTGGCAGCAGGCCTGGTAGTGACCCAGAAGCACTTCCAGTCCACTTCCATGTCCACCAGGGACTGCGCAGAGGGACCCCTGGTGACCCCCCCCGGCTCAGCAACTGGTGCCTCCTGGGTCGTGCTCCCTGGTAGACCCAGAAGTGAACCAAAAGTACTCTTGGTCCACTTCCGGGTTTGCCACCAAGCACATGGAGGGCACTCCCACGATCCTGTGGGACGCTCCATGCGCCCCAGCATTGCAGCGTTCACAAGCCGCGCTGGTACCTCAAGGTAAGTAGAAAAAACATGTAAAGCTGTGCCTGTGGCCAAATCGCTGATTCTCCAAAACAGCATCAAATCTTCAGATTTGGATTCGGCCGAATCAAATCAGGGACAGTGATCCGAATCAATTAATTGACTCACTGTCCCCGATTCAGGCCAAATGCAAATCGAATAGGGCCCGCTTCACACACCTCTAATGTTCATTGGATTTGGGTCTTAGAAGAGCTACCAAATAATTAAATCACAATACTAATACTTCAAACTTTATTGCCCCAAAATTCTGTCAGCACTTTGTAATCTGAACTGCAATTGGTCACTGATTTAAGAAACTGAAATAGTAGAGGTCAATGAAGATATCCAAAAACAAGAGTTATGAGGGAGGTATGTAAATTGAAGGCCCTCATCACACACATGCCTACACATGCTTAACTTCATGAACATGAGTAATCTCATTGACTTTACTGAAATTATTCAGAGTAGGTGAAGATAAGTCCATGCAAGAATGTACATGGGCTCAAGCTGTTTATTACTTTCCTCATCACAGGTTGTAGCTGTACGATATCTGGATTTAGCCAGCTCTAGAAAAGAGCAAATGCTAAAATCAGATGAGCACTGAGGTCCAGTCCAACTTTATGATTCAATGCTACTATTCCTTTTGTGACACACACTGTAAAGGAAGCAGCAAATTCTGCAGTAGTGCTCACCTCAGGTAAAAGTGAAGGATCATTCTGAAGCAGAAGTTGGCATAGTTCATGATCATTTAAGCACTCAAGCCCATGGTGTTTCAGAACAGGTAAGTTATGCTCCGATCGTAGGTTATGAATAAATTTGCATTCTTTCCTACATGTTTAAGAAGTCAGACACATAAGAAAGTGAACTGAATCAGCATAGTTTCACTAGAGGAGATACATTAGATTGAACAATTTATACTGCACGCAAAACTAACTAGTCTCAGAGAAAAATTACTCAGAGGATCATTACCATACCATTTTCAATTTACTGCCATAATTACTGAACAACTCGTCGGCAGTATTACAGCATGCCAACAATGGTGCTTATAAATACCAGATCACTTGGTAATTATATTCACTTAATAGAGAAGGAGCAAGAATAACAGTCCACATTTCCAAATCACCCATTGACATTATAGTCTTAAACTTGAGCAGTATGAAATATTCAAAATCTGTATGGAATTTCCTGAGTGCCTCATACAAATAAACAATCCTGGTGGTTCTGCATGTTTGCAGCCTAGTATCGGTGTCCTGAGCACACCGGCATGTGCCTGATGCCTGCTCCAACATGTTCGATTTAGAACACATCCCAGCAGACTTGATTAATCGAGCCTGCTGGAGCATGCTAATTAGTACACTCCAGCAGCCTCAGCATCACATGTATTCAGCCTCCCCACACTTCAAAATGGTGGCAGGGGCTCTTTAACTACAGCTCATTCAATGAGCTTTAATTAAAGTGCCCCCGCCACCATATTGAAGTGCAGGATGCTGACTACACGAGATGCTCCTGAGAGCCGCTCTAATTAAAGCACCACCCCTCACCCCCCACTCCAGAGCACGTGTAAAGTTGCCCAATGTGACTGCATAATTGAAGATTACTTTTAAATTATGACATGTTTGCACTGGAGATTTTAAGTTGTTTTTGTTGTGCTTTAACCAAGCCTCTAGTCCTCAAACAATTTTACTGTGCTAGTAGCATTTTTTCCTCCCTAGGCTGAATCCTGCAAACACACACACACACTTTACTGTGTTGTTAGTATGAGGAATTAGAAATACCTTTTGAGTATTCAGAAGCAAACACATTTTAAGATTGTATTCTGCTCCACTCCATATCATTTTCTCACCCAGAAGACATTATGTAAATGGGGTGCAGTCAGACAAACTCCCCAACACGCACATATTTGCAGTCCATAAGAGACAAGTTTAAGGAGAGGAGCACATGACAAAGTTGGTGTTATCTGCCCAACCTCAGTCCACACGGCATTCTCATGCTCCTCACCTTAATTACATAAAACTTGCTCTCCCTACTGATCTATCTGAAATGCTACCTTACTTCCTTCCCCTCCTCAACTAATAGGTGAACAGTGAATGATCTAGGCAGAGATCCACAGACTGGATCCAGCTCATGATCCAGTCTGTGTTTTACTAATGGCATGCTGATCCCTCTTGGATTAGATACATGATTTAAGCCACAGAGTATGAATGTGAATCCAGCCTGCATTCCACACTGGAGGCCAACCCCATGCTGCAGGCATATTGTGGAGGGCTCTGTGGGATTCCAGCTCAAAGCAAAGGGCTCTTCCCTCCCCCTCTCCACTGCAGCTTCTGCTCACTGTTTGCTTGCTGCTGACTTCACCACTCAGCACTGTCTTTGACCACAGTTTTCAGTGACACATTTTTCAGAAGCTGTATGAGGGGGGTGAGATCACAGTCCTCCACACAGAGCTGGGATGCAGCAAAGGACTGACAGCCTACCGTAAGAAAAGGTAGCCACACCCTGACCTATGCGGAGCACAAATTAAAACAGAGCAGGGGTCAGCAAGGTTTTACAGTGGCAGGCCAGATCAATCTAGCTTGGATCCATGGCAAACCAGTGCTTCCGCCCTGCCACCATTGCCCTCACCACTTCTCCTCCATCCCTTGACTGGTGAAAATGGAGCCCCCCAGCTCTGCAGCCCAGATCCAATGGCTCTGTGGTTTGGATACTGCTGATCCATTGAACAGAGTAACAGGGTTGGAGGAAAACATCTCTGCACGAGGCAAACAACACATAAGACCTCTAACAAAAGTGGTCAAGAAGGGAAGAGTATCCATGTATTTGGGAGGGGGGGGAAACAACTTACAACTTAACCCCAAAAAACAAGGAAATCATTTTTCAAAGTCAGTCATCCCATCCACACTTCATTCTAGGTCCTTTACTCAACTACATCCCCTTCTCTGGTAGGCTACCTTCTCTGAAGGCTTCACCTTCATCTTAACTAAAAATCAGACATAAACCTGGCTGTTGGTTATTTATTTATGAATTCTTTGTTGCAGTTTCTACATAAAAATGCTAATGTTAGATTGTCCGCATATACCACCTGTTCCCACTGCTTTAAAAATATATTACAGAAAAAACACACACCATATTATGCCCACCATTCACAGTTAGTCTATAAATTGCACATTCATATGAAATAGGCAGAAAGTGATCTGCTAAAGCCACAACCACCAGTGTAAATCAAGCCATGTGAATAAACCAGTGAATGTGGTCAGAATTCAAGCCAGTCTGCCAGCTACTCAGAAAGAAAGTAGGGCAGACTGTGGAAGGGAAATAACTGATATCAAGCAGGAAATGGTGAGTTGAGGCAAAAAATTAAGTTTGCCCCCTGCTCAAGGCAAGATCATCCCTGACTAAACCATCCCAGCTAAAGGTTGGTCCAGCCCGCTCATGTGAAGTTCCAGGGATGGAGAGTCCACAACTTCTCTGGGTAGCTTGTCCCAATGTTCGGCCACCCTCATAGTCTGAAGGTTGTTCCTCATATCCAACCTAAATTTCTTTTGGTGCACATGAGGCCACTGCTCCTAGTCCTGTCCCCTGTGGGGACAGTGAACAGGCTATCTTCATCCTCTTTATAACGGCCCTTCTTCCTCAGATTCTCTTTAGAATCACTCTACTTCCTTAGATCTAATAGTATCTAATGAAGAGTCACCCAATCCAGCAAACTACCTTGTTGTAAGTGAAGCTTTTTATGAAATATTTATTTAGTATCCAGAAGTGTGTTAGCGATCTACTGAAAATAAATATGTTTATGTTTTTATCTGATATGTTTTCACTGTTTCGAAGCACTGTTCCATTTTGTTTCATCGAAACTGTTTCGCTGTTTTGATGTTTCACCCGTAGGCTATAATAGAGAATCACAAAAATGCCTGTAACTTTGTCATTTCTTTCCTGATTCAAATGAAAAGAGCATGGATGGTAGCCCCCTTATGAGGCCATGAAGCTTGCCAAGTTTCAAGGAGACAGGTGCAGGAGTTTGGGGGAAACTGCAGCTCAAACTGTTCAGAGAAAAACTCATGTCCCTTGTAAGCATGAAGGCACAGAGGAACTTCAGTTCAAGCAATGCTTTTTATGCTGTTTTTCCATCCCTCCAGAGCAGTGGAATTGGAAGGGACCTCAGGGAAGAATCACAATCACTGGTCAGCTACACAGTCAATATCAGAGCAGTCCTTCCCCACTCTTCCCTTTCCCTCTCCTTAGTTTCTGTTAGGTGCAAGCAAACCAAGCTTCAAGTGCCCTCATTTCACTTTGAAGCTGTTTTGAAGCCTTTTGTTTCATTTCGATTGCGCTGTCTCAAGCTCAGAACATTGAAACAGCTTCAGAACAAAACACCTGGCAAAATTTCACACAGCCCTAATAACCACTGACCCCTGAGCAGATGTGCTCACCTACCAAACTGCAACCCACGTTCCCTGCCACACTTTACATATGTGACAACTGACTGGGGAATCATGCAATAAATTTAGACTGGCCACCCATGCAAAGTAATTATTATGCCATTCACTGGTCAATCACACAATGAATTTAATGGCGGGGGGGGGGGGGG